GGGGCTACTTGGCCTGGACACCATATGGCTGGGGGTGTCGCTGTCCCGCTGAAGCCGAAGACAAAAATCGTGTGGGGAAAGCGACCACATATGGATGACGAGGGTGATGTGGACCCTGAGGCAAGCTCTTCGGGGCAACCAAGGACCGAGCCGGCCCCCGATGGGGGCGCCGGGTCGGGAAAGGACGATGATGTGACGCTTCCTGACATTGGGAAACTTTCCGTGACGGAGAAGAAGAAAGACGACATGGATGTGGATCAGGAAGGCTCCAAGAAGGATTCCGCCGGGACGGAGAAGCCCAAGCCTCGGGATACTGAGGCTGGAAAGACAGACCCGAGCGAGATCACCAACTTCAAAGGGGCTACCTTTGAGGAGTACCGAAAGACTGCTCCAGACTATGTGTACAGCGGGGAGGGAGATGATCGAAGGATCCTTCCCAAGAACACTCCGATAGACATGGAGAAATTGTTGCCGGCTGAGGCAGCGCTCCTGATCCCTAGAGCAGTGGCCACGCAAAAGGAGGCTGAGGAAGCTGAGAAGGCTGCGATGGAGGCCATCCGCGGGGATTTTAGGCTCCCTGACGTGGGTCAGGAAGACAGGGAGAAGGTCGACCCTCACACCGTGACGGATGAAGACTTGGCTGCGTCGATAGACGCGTTGACTAGGAGATTGAGCGACATGCCTGAATGGTCGTCGCGGCGAGATGGGGCGGAAAGGCGAGTTATGACAAGCCTGAGGCTCCTCTGACTGAGGCTGGGATGAAGAGTGCGTCATTGGAGGATCGAGCTTATGCCCTGTCGCAGCTGAATGAGATGGTGAACTTTCACAAGAAGCACCTATGCTCTGGGCGAGGAGCGCCGATGGTAAGTGCAGCTGCTCCCAGTGGACCCTTTGCTCCTGATCAGGTTGATGAAAGCAGAAGGTTCCGAACGAGTGAGGCGGCAAGCAAGATGACCTACAATCTTGTGGTCCTGGACGGAAGGAAGGATTATCTTGCCGATAGGCAGGAAATCAATCCAGATCTAAGGGATACTGGGGTTATTCCTGATGAGGCCGCTACATGCCAGATTGTGATCCCCTCGAAGACAAGGTTGGGCGAGTACGTCCCGAACTACGAGGAGACCGCGGGCACCGTTGCAGGGCGGGAGGCGGCTATAAGGAGTTGATGAAACTGCTCTCGTGCGACTTTGAAGGTCTGGTCATCAACTCGAAGAAAGTCTCGGAGTTATTCGAGGAACATGTGCTGAGGGAAACTGGACGTGAGGCTGGAAACTGGGTGAGTAGTGACCAGGCCATCTGGTTCCTGAGAGAGATCACGGGCATGGAGAACGCCGAGATGTCGTGGAAGTTCTTCATTCCGATGATCAAATCTTTCCCGGTAGGGCAAGTTGAGGCAATGCCCATGATCATTTACGATGGGAATGGTGTCCTCCTCAGGGAGAGCACTAGGTTAGTGGCCGTTAGGTACACGCGGATCGGACGTGACATGAGTTACAGTGCCGTTAGGCAAAGGTACACCCAAGAAGATGCACCTGGCGGATCTCTGATGCACGAGATGCACTGGAATGAACTCCCTATGGTGGGGTACGTCGTCATGAAGTTCTCGGACTTTAGGAAGGCGGTTCAGCTCCAAAAGGTGAGGCGAAACGGAAAGGCCATGATCGAGATATTGATCACGAGGCCCGATGTGTACGAGACCATTGGGGATGGAAGGCAGGATGAGGGCCTGGTCCCACTTGTGGAAACCATGGCGCCGAACGCCGAGGTATCGCCATCGTGGTACGTCAGGGACAGGCTGCGGAACTACTCGGGAAGGTACGTGGTGGTAATCGTGGACCTTCGGGTGCACTGGTCGTTGGTTGGACCGGTGCATGCTGCTCAGTGGGGTAGGCGTATGACGACTTCCGTTAGGAAGTTCGCTCGTCATGACACATACTTGTCCTTCTATATCCCGATGGCGTACGTGATTGGCTCCGCGGCGGGGCATCTGACTCCGTTGTATCCGACCCATCGGAAGGACGTGGACATCCTGGCCAGTCATGCGTTGATAGCGGATCTCAGGAAGTACATGGTATCTGAGACAGGGTACGATGAGAAGAAGAGATTGAGGGAGGCGATAGCCAAGGTGCAGAAGGCAATCAGTGCCGGGCAGTCGGAGCCTCCCGCCCCCTTCCGCGACCCATTCGTCTACGTTAGCGACGAAAGGGTGAGGACGGTTCTTGATGGTCGTCAACCGGAGCCATTGGACGTGAACATCGAAGGGCTTCAATCGGTGCATCATGCTGCGCAGGGTCCTGGTCCTAAGCAGGAGCCGATCGTCAAGGGCGGAAAAGGAAAAGGGAAGAAGGGAGAAAAGGGCGGTAAGGGCGGTAGTCCTTCCGGCCCACCAAAGTCAGGTGAAGTGCCAGGAAAAGGGTCTGGTAAGGGCGATAGTCCATCTGTCCCACAGGCAAAAGCAAAGGCTGATGCTGGGCCGGCTCCGATGGAGGTTGATGCAACTGCGGCTCAACCGAAGAAGACTTGGGTCGCGATAGCGGTTGAAGGAGCCCGGCCGAGTGCGAAGGCTAAAATGACCCCAGTTCCAAAAGCCGAGCCAAAGGGAAAGGCAGCTTCAGTATCTGAGGCGAAGAGTGCTTCGGCTCCGAAGGCTGAGGCTAAGGAGACGAAGCAGGCCGAACCGAAGGTTGAGGTCAAGAAGGAGAAGGTACGCGGAGACGACGCTCTGGCGGTAGTCGGGGGTCGGCTGAAGGGCAGAAGAGAGAAAGGAAGTCCCGGTGGGATCCTGACGAGACTGTGAAGGAGTCGACGAAGCGAGAGGCATCGACGAGGCCTGATGACGTTGACAGCAGACCAGGTGCGGCAGCAAGAGAGGCTAGTGGGGATGATCTTCACTCTGCGCTTGGTAGGCCTTCGGCAAAGGACGCGGTAGCGCCTCTGACGGCCTCCAAGGCAATGGCAAAGAAGCCTGAAGGCGGTGAGATCAGGTTGCAGTCGGCTGAGCGAGCTGCGGCGAGCCCGCTGGAGGGTCACTTCCTGGTGCTGCCTGAGAGCTCGGTGGTGGATGCTCTCTTGTCAGTCTCCACCAACAGAGTGCTGAACAAGCAAGTCAGGGATTTCATCAGAAATGGTGAGGACGCGTCGGCGCTGGAGGCTCTCAACCAGATCGTGACGACTTCTCGCTCTGGGAGGAGGCGTAGGGAATTGGACGTTTCCCGCACTCCTTCTCGGAGGTCCGTTAGGACCGTGGACACCAGGGATTCCAGAGAGTCGAGAAGGTGCAGATACCGTCCGCGGCGCGAGGATGATCGTGACCGGAGGAGGGACGATGCTCGTGATCGTCGTGATGATGATTCACTCGATCGGGAGCGAGAACGAAGGCGAGATGATCGCAGGAGATCCGAGAGGGATCGTGATAGGGACCGTGCGCGGGGCGGACGTGACCGGAGGAGACGTGACGATAGCCGATAGGCTGAGTCACGAGGATTGCGGCCGATAGGCTTGCGTCCATTCTCCAATGGTCGGCGCGGTGCGGAGGTGGTGATGGTCCTCCCGAACCGCTGAGGCGCGGAGATCATATCTCTCCCGTACCGCTGCTGGGCTGCTGGTCGTGTTCATCAGGAAGCAGTGTGAGTGAGAGGGAAAGCAAACTGATGGGGGGTTACTCCCGGGTTTGCGGAATTCAAGCATTTTTCAGGTACATGGTCAGGAGTACCTCTTGCCGATAGGCGAGGATACTAATGGACATACGCTATCTCTTATTTCATGGCTTCTGATAAGAATTAAACTTCTTGCATTGTTGATGCAAACAGTTGTGGCCTAGTGTCGTCACGTGGACTTTTCCACAAGGTATGTTGGACAGCGTTACCCCGATTAATTCGGGGTGGTGGCGGGAATTTAATGCCCGGGATGTCGCGCAACTGCCTTTGTGGGTTTGCTCCACCGCTGACGGCGGTAGTGTCCAGCTGTTTGCGGACGCATGCGAGCAGTTAAATCCTATCAGTAAATGGCACGCTCCACCCGTCATATGACGGGCTCCTCGTGAGGGGGGTGTGATTAGCCATGATTCATTTCATCATCAGGGATGTCGCGGTAGTGACTGACCTGTGATGTTTGGCTCAAGTTTTGGATCCGGCGCGCCTCGGATGAGCGTCGCCGGGCCCTCACGTCGACCGCCTTCGTGTCGGAGGAGAAAGAGACTTCGGCCCGGGGTAGGTTGGTGGGGATCGCCCGTGCGGTTCATCGTCGACCAAGGTTGCGGGTATCCTTTTCTATTTTGGTTTGTTTCCCTTTGGTTGTTGTTCTCTGGTGTGTGGGAAACCCTGATCTTTGGGACCGGGGATTGGTTTGCTTTTGGGGAACCTTTCTTTTGTGGCTTGTTTACCCCAACTTACCCATTGCCTGGGCACAGGCTCGTGCCCGAATCACACTATCCAAATTCTTAATTTTAGAAAGCGGCCGTTTGTGGAGATGTGAATTTAGCATGAAGCACGCTACACAACGCTGTTTTACGGTGCTTTCTGACCATGGCAGTACTGGGGGTGGGCTGGGTGAAACACGATTTTTGGACCTCTGAATTCTTTCCTCATGACATTGTACTTTGTATCTGATTCAAATCATACTCAAATCCCAAATGAATGGCAACATAATTTAATGAGGAACGCATCCAATAAACATTTGCATGTTGAATAGAACTTAAACAACATGTATTCTTTTTTCAAAATTATGCTTACACAGGATTCCTCCCCAAGTCTTTGCAAATCAGTCAAAAGCAAGTACAAACAGCAGATACAGACTTGCATGCGCAAGCAGAGCAAAATGGCTGTGGGTCAAAACCAATGGTACCATTTTGGGGTAGCTGCACCACCCATTTTAGTCTATTTTAGTGGGGATTGGGATGTTTACTGGGGGTACGGGATTTTGGGATTTTGACCCACCAAAAGGCAAAAAGTGCACCCCAAATCCCCTGGCCTCGTTGAAAAAGGGGGGGAAAAGTTCGCCAGGAGCAGCAAAGCGAGCCAGCCAAGCCAGAGCCAGGCGGGAGCTTCATGTTGCCTGGGTGCAACATAGCCAGTCATATTTATGAAAGAAATGTGTGTATATACGTATACATATATATATATATATATATTCATTTATTTTTACACATGCGTACAAGAAGCCACGGGAATGTAGATTTTTCCCTTTTTGAGACCTTCTTTGACACGCGGCTTCGAATTAAAACAATTGGGGAGAATCACTGAATCACAGCTTTGGTGGCATTTCGACACGTGAACGGCTGCGACTTCAGTTCAGGCTCGTGTGAAATCGCCCATCACGGAAATGCTCCACGGGAAATCCATAGTTCCTGAAGGCTGAACACCCGTGTGACACCATGCCCCGTCTACCGAAGGGAGCTACGTCCAGGCACCTCAGATCTGACATCCATAGCTGCAAGCAATGGGCAAACGGATCAACGAGCCCAGGGACGGCATCGGATTTCTGTCCAGTGCGATAGGGGGAATCGACCTTCAACATGAAGCATGCATTGAGCGCATTACCCCAATCGGAAGCCCGAGGAAGCATTTGGTTGGAAGCATTCCTTATGCATGCACTCCTGCAGCACTTTCCTAACCCCCAATAAGTCACACTCTCGTTTTGGACATGCCTTGCATCAGTGTGGACCCAAATTGGGTCCAAAGCAGGATGTGACGAATGCATACAAATGCCAACTACGCTGGCACACGTTCTTATATCATCCGTTAGGGCAATAGCCAGAGCCAACACTTTTTGAGACGTTCATGGATGGCCCACCAGCAATGCACAAGACTGGGCCTTGCAGCTGGTTGGCGCATTGATTAGCAATGCATGTTTGCGCACGGACCTTGCATGGAGCAACCTCATGTGGGATCAGTTGTTGGCTCTTGTCCAGAGCAGTTCATGCTGAGTCGGCAATTCAAGCAAATGTGCCAAGACAAGTGTTTTTCTTTTTTATGTCGGTTTTCTGTCAACAGGAGCCTAACCAGGGGCCTTTGGAAATTCCCGGCATTGACCCTAAGCTCCAGGCACTTTGGGGCAAGCTGCGGGCCACAACGAACCAGGCGCTTCCTTGGCCATGTGTCACGCGCATGCGGTGAAGAACATGCATTTTCCCGTGTGCCCTGCCTGTTGTCTAGGAAGACTGAAAGCAAGCTGTGCGTTTGGTCAGACCCCCAAGTTTGGATTTGGATTGTTGCGCCTTCCAAGGGGAAGCGCCTGCTCGTTTGTTGTGTTTTCTTGGCACCATGTGACTCCAGGTGCGGCTACCATACTCTCCGAACGAAAGATCTGAATAGAATGGAGACAGGCAGTCGGCAACATCACTGCTGTCGTCGGGCTCAAGATTTCGCAACCGAATTTTGCTCATGCGCTTTTCCGCGCATGGGGAACGCAGCGTGTACGGATTACATTTCAAGCTGGTAGATGGAGCGTTAACGGGGCGTTGCTTCACTGATTCACGCTCGGTGATCCAAACTGCTCGGCGGAGGTTCCCATGCCAGGGTTGCCGTGGGTCTTGACTTCGAGGACGTTTTGTGCTTGCCCCTCAGAGGCCATGACGCTGAAGAAGACCGCAGAGGCGCTGGGGTCTGAGGCGGGAGCCCAGCCGCCGCATGAAGGTGCTTTTGTTGTCCTTTTATTGCGGCCTCGGTGAGCCGGTGGCTGCATAGAACTCCCACCAACGCAATATCAAAAGTGTCAACTTTTCAATATCAGAAACATCCTGGTAAGATGCTCAGTTCCGAAGCACGATGCAGCTGCTCTATGGGGATCAGCTTATGTTTGTTAGATGCAGTTGAGAAAGTGGGACCGACGCATGTGACCAGGCCGACAAGGCAGAAACGGAGACGAAGACGACTGGAGTATACAAGGCTGGGCTTGCAAGCCTAAAGGTACCAGCGTGGCATCCTTGCAAGATGGCCAGGGTTCCCCAGGCCAGCCGAGGCCAGATCAAAGAGTCGGTTGCCAGTGGCCGCCCTAAGAACGTGTTTCTACTTGTGGCAACAATTTGCGCCAATGAGCTGCCCTGGTTACGCTGGCCAGGCCTTCTCGGCCGTGTCGCGCAAGCAGGCCTTCAGGGGTCGAATCCAAACGCGAACCCAATTCTCCCAACTCCTCGCCACACCGCAGCTCGCTCGGAGCCATCTGTGCAGGAGCCCAAGAAGAAGCTCCTGCTGCGCGTGGGCTCGGTAGGCGCCCTTCTTTCGCACACCGCCTGTTGCCAAGCTTGCTGGGTGTTTTGCGCATGCTTGCGCAGCGCGCGGCCCCTAAGTGTAGCAAGATTAGAATACGCTAAGACCATGTTTGTCCCTTCCCTCGCACCAGCACCCGGGCTTTGTGCAGGTGCCTTCCAGTACTTTGGTGACAAGGAGGTGTGCAATTCCCAGGCTGGGATTCTGCAAATCCACGTGGCAGGGACAAGGTGTTGGTCCCCTCCAGCCAACATGGAATCCCGGAAGCCGTCGGTCCGCCAAAGTCGCATTTGTCCCAAGGTCGTTGCGGTCCAGCCAGGGTCGGATCGCCAGGTGTTCCCTTGCAGCCTGATGAGCGACCCAATCGCAGACATCTACATCATGAGCAAGCCCGGAGCTATGAGAATGGCCAGGGTTCAAATGCACTTGCCCCGGCACCAACATGATGGTACGGTGCCTGGGTGGGTCATCCGCAACATCCTGTTGTGGACATCTTACGCTGCATGAAGACTGAATTTGGCCCGGTGCACCGCGCTTTTTCCTAGATTCTGCATGTTGAATGACACAATGTTGCTTCACTGGAGGCACTAGCATGGAGGATGTTTGCCACGGCCAACCTTTCCTGCAATTGGTGGCTATCGGGGCTAGCCTTTCCTTTAGACACACCAGAGCCTAGGGGAAGTTTACTTCCCACCAGACATTTTGCATGGCTCCTGCGCACCTGCCCAGGCATGATGTCCTGCGCCGCTTGCCCAAGAGTCTGCTTTCGGCACTTTTCACGCAGGACGTGCAGGCAGGAAGTTCCCAGAAGGCTTTGCCCGCAATTTGGTAGCCATGCAGTATCTAGATTTGCGTGTTGGAGGCTTGCAGGTTGAAGTGCTCGAAGCCCGCATCAAGCGCCCCGCCTGGCGCAGAAAGAGCCGACGGACGGACAGCTCGTCGACATGCTGCGCCAAAATGAGCAGCTCGGACCATGCAAGCTGTGAGAACTTCAGAACCGTGCCATTGTGTCCCTTACCGAGCCAGCGATGGGCTTACTCTCGGTTGCCCAAAGCCGACCTTTCGACCTCTTGATTTCTCCTTTTTGGTCCAGTTGTAGTCATGGCCCCAGAAGGTTCACCTTTTATTTCCGGGTCCCTAAGGGGCAAGTGAGTATGGTAGCGGCGGCCATGGGCCAGCATCTTCTCCAGAGAGCCCTGTGCTCCGCTTCGAAGGTCCAGTGGGCCACCCCTAGGCTACAGGCTGAGTTGCGTGCACTAAGTCAGGCGCTGATAGGCCCTTGGCGAGGGTTCTCTCAAACCATCACTGAACCACCGGGTTCTATCAAAGAGATGAGTTTGGGTTCCGGATATTTTTGAGTTCACTGCGAGCCGAGGCGCTGGTTCACCTTCCGCCGCAGCATGCATGGTGAGGTCCTGATGTGCCGGGACCAGGAGAGGGGAGGTGGGGCACGCGCCTACACCTCGACGCACAAGGTAGATGCGCGGGGCCCCAGTGAGAGGTGCCGACCAGAAGAAGTAAGCCATTGGAAAGGTGGCGGGTGGACAAACCAGGACAGCTGGCAAGCACCAAGTGCTTTCAGAGTCAATCAAAAGTGGTCCTTTGCCTGCTTGCTTGCCTAACTACGAACGGGAGCGGTTCACAGACCCGGGGCTGTCTTAAGGATTAAACACTGACTGCCCTGCTGTGTCAAGTTGCCATGGGGACATCTCCCCACCAGCGAGCGAGTCGCTCTTTCAGCTCCAAGGCCTTGTCGAACTTCGAGTTCCTAGGCCTTGGCCTTACGCCATTTGTTGGCCGGTGCTGATTGGTGTGGCGCGCCATGGGCTTGTCGGATGTGTCAGAGGATGTTCTTATTCACTGGCTCGCGCGCGTTGTTTTGCCTTAAGAAGGTGCGATGGTTTCATATCATGATGGCTCTGGTTGATGCGGATGACTTCTTTGCCAAGCTCCCCCCAGTTTTGGTGGTCACCCTGAAAAACGGAAGGCCTTTGAAAGCGAGCCAGCGGCAGCATTCGGCAGCACCTGCCAATATTGGAGCCCGAGGCGTGAACCCTCACGGCTCCTTTGCTGGGCGCACGCTGCCTCCGCCGCGGAAGATCCTAGGCCGGTCGCACCCATTGCGTTGCTCAGGGTACCACGGTCGATGGGGTCCGTCCCTGATTCGGCTGATGGCCCAACTTACGCTGCTCTTTGGTCTCTATCTGTCTGGGACGAGGCCCAGAATGTCCACCAAACCAAGCCAGCGCCAGCTTATCAGATGCACATTCCTTTCCCTGGCCCCAGATGGACACGTTTCCGAAACATTTCCGTTCCTCCTTTCCCTGGCCCTGCCCCCCGGGGGGAGGGGGGCGTTGGTCCTGCAGGTGTTCACCTCACCGCCAAGGATGAGGAGCTCTTCAGTCAGACCTCTGCCAGGCACCGGCTGCTAAGTTGGGGCCGCTTCGAAGCGGTTTGAGAACCCGGCAGAGCGACCCGGGTCTGTTTGTTTGTTCTCTTTTTTCCCCAACAGCTGAAAGCTTTGAAGTCTCAGCCCAGATAGGCTCCGGGGTGGTCTGGGGCGGCCCTGAGGTAAGGTTCCACCAGGGTTCGACCAGGGTTCCACCAGGGTTCTGCGAGGTTCTGCGAGGGCTGCCGGGTGGTGAGAGCACTAAAAAGAGCACCGCATGCTGTTGGGGATGTTACCTGAGCTTATTTTGTTTGAGCAAAATTGTATTTTGGTTTCGAGTACTCTTTGGGTCAGCATTGCTTTGCCTCATATGGGATATGGGTCGTAAAAAGCATTGTTTGGTATTGGTTTGGTGTTGGTCTGGAGGCCCTGTTGTGTTTGCCATTTGAATCATTTTGCTGTATTGGGCACATGTTCATTGTTGGGGATGCTGAATACTTGCAGAAGCAATAGTTTGCGTTTGTTTTTTCAATCCTGGCGACCCGGTTCTTTCAGTTCAAATCACCCTCGGCATTGAACATGTTGATGTGGCCGGGTGTGGTTTGCGAATGAGTTTCAACAGCACAGGTTGCCGAGTTTCAAAAAGTACCGGGCTCTGAAAGCGGTGTGTTGGACTTGCAGGGCACAAGCAAGCAGGTGTTCGCTTTGGGCTACCGCCGGGTGAGGAGAGTCTCAACTTTGCTTCGGCTTGCCAGGTTCCTGCGGCGGTTTGACCACCTGAAGCGCGACAGAGGCGGGCCGACTGCATGCATTTCAACGCATGTTGAAACCTAAGTCTGATGCCCAAACGTTGGCCCGTGGCCACGTTTGTGGCATGGAGATCCGGTGATCCACCTTGCAGGTTTGCGGGTGGCCTTAAGGAAGGCCGGTGCTTCAGAGAGGCTCCTGAGCAGCATCCGGCAGGACTGACTGCCAACACGCTCGCAGGCTCACCCATGCGATTTGTCGGTGTTCGGAGGCTTTGATATCGGTTCTCTCAGAGCGGCGCATGGCTCGCAAGGATGCCTTGGACCCGATGCAGATTCGCTTTGACCAGCAGTGGTCGGGGCCTCCGGACATGCATGCTCGGTAGGAAGGCAAAAGGAGCTGGAGCGCGTGGGCTGAGTTTGGTGACCTGTCCTAAGTTAGGGGTTCAACCCTTCTCAGCTTTGCAGATGTTTGCCGTCAATGCTTCAGTCAAAGGGAAGACGGGCTTGAGACATAGGTCGAAGCTGCAGCAAGACCCTGTCAGCTTGGACTTGGACCAGGAGAACCTGGAGGATCTATTCAGGAGGGCTTTTGTGATGGGAAGGGTGAGTGATTAAGGCGCATTTGAGCATCGTCAAGCCTCAAGCTGTTGGCCGAACGTTGGCGTTTGGTGCGCAGGTTTGAAACAGAATGAATGCGCGTGCTTCAGACAAAAGAAGGTCCAGCTGAACTTTGCTTGAACATAGCTGAGCAGAACGCTCGATCCAGCCACGTGCTCACGTTGAGGCAGGGAGAGCATTCACAACTGTCAGACTATCAGTCCATAATCTAATTAGATATCGATGCAAGGGGTGTCTCCATTCTCATGAGGGAAACTACACTCGACGTGGACTCACTGGAGCCTTTGTTTGGACATGATGGTTGACTGGAACGTGTCTCTGGCAGGATTCCCAGCGCTTTCGGCTCAGTGGGGGGGGACACCACGTGCGTATATTTGCTGACATGTCTCACCAAAATTGGAACCGAGGGAAGTTGCAACCGGTTGTTAGCTTTGTTTTTCCCCAGATAGCTGAAAGTTATAAGGGATTCTAACTTCTAATGAAAAGGGGAAGGGGATTTGCGAGATTGATGGGAGGGTGCTAGGGGGCGTGCAGTTTGGGTGCTGTTTGGGGTGCTGTTTGGGACGCTGTTTGAGGTGCTGGTGGGATTGACGGCCGGGTGCTAGCGTACATGCAGGTGACGGTGCGGGCGCATTTTTGCAACATTGACGGTAGGGTGCAAGCAGGCATGCAGTTTGGGGTGCTGGTGCGGGTGGTGCTTTGGGATGCTGCTTGGGGTGCTGTTAGGTGCTGGTGACGGCGCGGGCGCATTCTCGCGAGATTGATGGCTGGGTGCTTTGGGGGTGCTATTTGGGGGTGCTGTTCGGGGTGCTGTTCGGGGTGCTGTTCGGGGAGCTGTTCGGGGTGCTGTTCGGGGAGCTGTTCGGGGCGCTGTTCGGGGTGACGGTGCGAGCACATTTTGCGAGATTGACGGCAGGGTGCACGGGGGCATGCAGTTTGGGATGCTCTTTGGGGTGCTGTTGGAGGTGTTAGTGACGGCGAGGACGCATTTGTGCGAGATTGACGGCCGGGTGCAGTTTGGGGGCGCTCTTCGGAGGGTGCTGTTGGAGGTGTGGTGTACAACTGTCGGCATGCTTTTCGCTATCTGGGGTCCATGCTGGTGTATTTTATCTTCGTTTCCTGGTCTCGATTTGTGGCCATTGTGTTCGAGAGCTGTTTTTTGAATCAGAGGTTTGTCCTTGTTGGATTCGGTTGCACTAAGGCAGTAGCTGAGTAGCTGATGATATCAATGACAATAGCATGTCAAAAGAATGCTGCACCAACTCGGTAACCCGGAGGCATTTAGAGTCTTGAGTACGATCAAGATGGGATTCGGTATCAGAGGGGAAATGATTGCCAAGGCCGACGAGATGGGCGACGGGCCGGGCGCTGAGGGGGGTTCCCCGCCAGTAGTCGCCCTACCCAGCTGTGATGTGCTTGAAGAGTAATATGTGAGCAATATTCAGCCCCTGGCTTACTTCCCGAGTTTTATGGTTTTAGGGCTGGGCGCTTGCTTGCAACTGAGGTTGAGGCGGATGGGACAACCAGAATTGGGTCGGGCATACAATTGCAAATCAATACCGGTCAGTATACAAACGTGCATGTTTGTGTAACATTTACATTTATTCATTTTTGTGTTGTACCTTTGCAAAGCAACAAGGCAACTCGCAATGTTTGCCGCGGCCTTTGCCTTTGCCCCCAGGTGTGTGAAGACTCTGTTGCCAGGACTGGGTGCATTGGTTGCCGATCTTTGGGAGGGCCTTTGCGACCTGATGGCTTCCCCATTGTAAACGATTTTAGCAGTGTGGAAAGCGACTAGGCTATCGCAAAGCCATCTTTGAACAGGAGCTTACGTTAAGGAAATCTAAACATTGACCTTGTTTGTGAAGCTGGCAGGCTGCAGTGTGATGAGCTACGGCATGCCACGATCAAGCTAATAAAGTTTTATCATCCTGTGGGGGAGCGGGGGCACCTTGGAATGCGGGCTTTAACGGGCCTGTCACTCACTTGATCTTCAACGGGGCACTTGCACAATCTTGTTTTTGTTTTTCGGCGGGAAGTGAGTGCAGCTGAAGGACAAGTGGCCGAGAGAGGTGATAGCTTGGCGCTTGGCGCAGTTGGAGCTAGTTGGAGCCAGTTGGAGCTTGAAGCTTGATTTCAACCAGAGCTGGGGATCTAGTATTGCGATTGCGTGGGTCGTTCTTGTGCTTCAGTCCTGCGTGGTGAATGGGGCAAGCGCTTAAGACACCGCATGTGCACAGGTGATTTCACCGGCCGCTGGAATACGGTGAGGCTCTTAGCTTTCCTTTGCCTGCAGCGGGCACGAGCAGTCGACACAGACCAGAGGGCATGCGCGATAGTTGATATTGTTTTCCAGGGCAGGGATTCCAGCTGAGCACAGTGGAAGCGCTAGGTCCGCTAGGTCGGTGGCCGCCAATTTCAGCTAGCTCATAAGTGGACAGCATGTGGACACCTCATTGGGGGTATGAATGACAGTCAAGGTTGGCACAGTCAAGGTTGGCACATTGATGCAATCACAGGGTCCCTATGGGTCCCTCGCGCTACAGTTTAGCTAAACCCTGGTTCACTTGTGGAAGCCGATGGGGGCCACCAACTTCAAGCCAACAGTGATGACTAAGTTAGTTTGGGGGCGTGCCGGATGGACAGTTGGCCCCTGGTTTGGGCGACCATTGCTTTGTGTGGTATCTCAGGCAGAGCTTGGTGCAGCCTGGGTCCCAGGTGCCAAACTCCTGACTTCGTACCCTAGATCCTGGGCAACTTCAAGTCTGGTGAAACGTCCTGCCACAGAAAAGGGAGGATTTTTGGAGCGCCGCTTAGTTGACGTACTGCTAAAGCCCCTCGTTGCAACTTTTGCCAAGGGATGATGCAGGTGCGCAGGTTTGATCGGACAGGTTTTTTTTTTCCAGCCGGCCTTCAGGAAGGGAACCTGCAGCCGTCCAGCCGGCATGTGGCGTAAAGTTGAGAAAGCCACAGAAGCAGACTGAAAGAGACCTGGCTCATGCTGGAGTGATTTGGCATGTTTCATTCGTCAAGTGTGACTGTGGCACGTGTTTGGTTTGCACATGATGCAACCACTCACCTTGCTAGCATTGCTTTGGCGCATGTGGGCGCATGCGCTTGCGGGCGCTTGCGGGGGTTGGGCGCATGCACTTGCGCTTGCTCCATGCGAGCTGGTGCCAGGCTCCTGGAGTCCAAAAGGCGCGTAGGCTTCTCGTGACCGGCGAAGCTCTGCTGGTCGCGTTTTTTGCCTGGGCTGCAGGCTCAGGAGAGTGCCGCGCGGGTAGGAAAATGCTTGAGAACGAGTTGCTTCTTTTCTTTCCTTTCTTGGAGACAAACGGGACAACTTCATGAGCCATGCTTCCCTTTTGCCCCAAGTGGCATTGTGCACGAAGTGCTGTGTCACCGCTTTTGCTCCAGCAAAGCTGGGCGACCTAGTTGGCCAAAGGGGTTTGCCTTAGAGTGGTGACCCTTTGCCAAAGTGATCCGAAGTTGATGAACGAAAGCAGCATCGCCCGACGGTCCACGGGATACCCTCGCTTCAGCTTGTGCCAGACGTTGGACGCTGTCCGTGGTAGTGGGGTTTAGTCGGGGCCAAGTGCTATAACTGGCACGCATGCATGCTAATAGGGAGCTGCAAGAGGTGCTTCTTTGCCACATGCTGGTCAGCCGTGCCGCACTCCAGACATCATGCAGACTGCCAAGCTGCTGCTGTAAAGCAACCGCATGTGAAGTCAAGCAGAATTGAAGAATTGCCAAGCCCACCCAAGCACAGACGGCTTCGCAGGATGACGGACTGTCACATGTTCCGAATGTCTATGCTGACGCATCGCATGAACAGAAGCTTGGGTATTGCCCCGTTGCTCCAGACAGTGTGTGTTTTTTTCTTTTAGTCTTCCGCATGAGCAGTCCGCTTCGGAACCGGATGATGGCGAGACGCACCAGCGGGCAGAAATCTGCCATGCAGCGGTGGAGGAATCCAGCATGAAGAGGTGAGGTGTGGAGCAGCAGCTGGGCTGCAAATGCTTTAAGGGGAAGGCGGAACAAGGGTCAATGGCAAGCTGCCACTTGGGCTCTTGGACTTTGCGCTTCAGGCTTGTGAAAAGGGTCAGGAAAGAGTATGAAAATTGCATTTTAAATCATTATCTATCCGATTAAACGCATCTGTCGAATTTGAGCATAGGCTGTTCAGCTGAATGGTTTGGTCCAACGTATCTGGCAGTGTTTCCCACAGCTTGCTAGCCATGAACTTGGATGGGTCTATTGGAGTCCATTTCCTCAGGTCCGTGCCGATCCGCTTTGCCCTGGCTTTTTACCGGGCGGATGTGTGGGGGTTGCATCTTCTGGACATGCGGGAGGCAGAGGCGTCGACTTGTCCTGGAGGAAAGAGAGATGTAAGGAAATCAATTTACTGGAGTGAAGATATGATGAAATTAATGGAGACTTATTTGTTGGAGAGACTTTTGCTAATTTGGATGAATCAATTGTGTCAAGACCCTTTGGACAGCCAGTACTCAGTTGCAGAAACCTGGCGCCGATCAACGAAGAAATACGGTGGGCTGCAAGAGCCACTGCAGGAACCACACCTGCGATCAATGCTAGTGCACAAGAAGCAATGACACCTTGCAACAGCAGGCATGCTCCAAGTGCAACCTTCTTCTTTCTCTGGGGAACTGGGGAATGCAATCAGAAGTTGAAAGGCCGCCTCCTACGTCAGCGTCATAGACTCCTGCCAATAGCCTTTGCCTTCAGCTGCCTGGCAGCTGCGGGTGCCTTGCTTCCTGGCTGCTTTGGACGGCTGGGCCTGTGGTTTGGGTCAAGGGCGGCTTCAAGCGTTTGTCCTTGGAACGGAAGCTCGGTGACCCGCGGAACACTGGAGTTGCAGCGGCACAAAGAAGCAGGGGCACCAGCGAGCACCAGTAGGACCTTGCTTGGCTGCTGCCTGTCAGTGTGAGTCCCTGTTGGCGGGAGCTGCATCATTCATAATTCAGGCACCCAGGGGTCGTTTTGCTGTTCAGGAAGGAGTCAGCGCTTGACAACCCCGCTTTTGCACCGATGTCAACTCTTGATCAGATGTGTTTGGTCTCCATCCGAGGGGTCACATGCTGTTTACATGCGGGGAAGGCGTCAACAAACCCGGGGTTCTGATTATAGTAGGGATGGATCGGCACAGCAGCTCCTCTGAGGTGGTGGACCATCAGCCATAGCCCCTGCCTCAGCACGACAGTTGCAATTCGGCAGAAAACTCTGCTTTGCCAACTGCTACTTGTGTGGCCTACTGAATTCTATTCTTTGCAACCTTGTTCCAAGGGCATGCTAGGGGAGAGTGGTTGCCTCAGCCCGGATTTCAAGGGGGCTTTCCACAAAGTTCTGCGAGCCAGCGGCATAGCTGCGACGTAGCTGTGATGCATCATGGCTTCGACGGGCATGATTGATAGAGGGGCTGGATGCGAGCCTTGGGCTCAAATCAAAGAGTAAAGCTGGAAAGAGTGAGAAGAGTGGCGGTCGATGCCTTAGCACGCTATGATTGTCACGAAAGCTTTGGGCCGATGTGTGCCTGTGCGTGCCTCCCGATGGTCATCGCAACTTCTGCCCCAACCCGCAACCCACAATGCTCCCAAACTGGCAAAAACACAGCTTAGCTATCAGCATGTCAGGGCTTTCAACTGCATGCCAATGCACTCGTTTTGCCATCCATGTGCTTGGCTACAATAACGCCCAGGCAGCTTGGAAACATGGCGGAAGCTGTTGCCAATGGCACGCAAGCTTTCTATGGCTGCGGCTACTGCACGGAGGCGGCATTGCCATTTCCGCTGGGTGTGAATGTAACAAGAACTCGGTTTTGGTTTGCCAGCATCGCGCCCATGGGGCTTTTGGGGATTGGAGGCCCCTGCGCTACGGTGCCCCCAGGGAGTCAGAGCGAGATCATTCGTCTCTAGCGCAAGTGGCATTGGATGACCATGAGGGTTCCCGGACAAATCGTGCGGGCATGCTGAGTAGCTTGAGTCCCGCCTATTCCCGCCTTGTGACGAGACGGCCACAGGGATCCAAAGCCTGCCCGCCATGTTGCAAAAATGTTTGGACAAGCGCAACCGCCAGCAGGCTTTTGCTGACAAGAAGCTGCACCTCGGTTTGCAAGTAACTAGACTCGGCCGTGCGACTTGGAGCTTCAGAACGCGCTTGATTACTCACCTGCTTTGTGGGAGGAACGACCTGGGGGTAGTGTAAGTATGTTCGACTTCTCGTCGCCTGACCGAGCCACAAACCCCTGCTGCTTGCATGCTGTCAATTCAAATAGTGGGCAACAGTTAGTGGCCGAGTCCGCTGCCCTGAGGCTTGAGGTTCACATCAAGATGATCCATGCAGGCACGGCAAAGACTGGCGCGATCCCTACTAAGTTTCCTCTCCCCCCCATGCTGCGAAGCCATGGAGCGTGGCGGTTTTTCAACAGCATGCCTTAGGACTTGTATCCCGTTTCCCGGCTTCAACGCAAGCTTCAGATCCTTGCGCAGCACCCTACTAGTCAAAAAAATTGGGGTAAGGGCCCCACCCCTGAGCACAGTCCTCCGGAATCCGAAGTTATCAGCCAGGCTCGCCCTTCCGGTCAGTTCCGGCGCCCCTGCCGCGGCGCGAGAGGCTGCAGCAGGCAGAGCCTTTCGGTCAAATCGGTCGCCGCTGCACCTGGAGTATGGATTGATCTCATCTCGAGGCTCCGAAGCTTAAGGAATTCACGAGACTTGACACTGCAAGCTTCAGCGTACCCAACTTCGTCGAGTCCCGGGGGGGAATCTCAGCTGTTGAGATAGCTTTAGATGATGCCTTTAATGTGTACCTGTGCTGTGATCTGTGTGCGGCAAGACTGTAAGCGTGCCATGGATGCAATTCCTTCAGGGGACGTAAGGCAAGCGCTGGCAAACCTTCAAGGGCTTCTTAAGTTGTTTTGAGATAATAACAGACTGAGTTGCACTGAGACTGGCTGAGCAGCCCACTGGCTAACACCAAGTTGTTTTTTCGAGCATTGTCGTGTTTTAAAAAAATGTGCACCATCCATCCCTCGGGCATTTGGCCCCACCTTGTCAGGTCCCCGGCGCGATCTCCAAGAATTTGCCGATCTCTGAGGTGGCGCGGCACTGCATCCCGGAGGACTGCCGCCTGCCTGACATTGGCCCGCTGGGTTGCGAAGGGAGGGGGGGGGTGAACAAGGGGAACGAGGGGGGATAAAAGGGGGGGAGGGTGAAGGGCGCACATTGCCCAACACAACAGCCCAACAGTGCGGAGAAAAAAGGAGCGCCGCTGTGGGACGCCTGGTGCCCAGGCTGGGTGGCCTTGAACGGCAAGGTCTACGACCTCACAGAGTTCATGGATCGGCATCCTGGGGGTCCCACCACCATCCTGGCGTGGGCTGGGAAGGACGCCTCCAAGTTGTTCAACGACATCCACAAAGGAGCGGTTTGTAACCTCACAGAGGGGTCCTCACAAAGGTGTCAAAAGCCATACCCTCCAGTTATAGTTCCCCTTGGCACGCCAAGTGACTATCCATTTCCCCTTTCAGGGGAGCTGCTACCCCTGGAATGAGATCCGGGACTTGTCAGATAGCCTGCACATCTCATGAGCAAGCTGAATAAAACGACCCAAACTAGTTCAGCGAGTTTGACGCAGGATGTACCTAGCATGAAGCAATTCCCTGTTCAGATCCAAACTTGGGAAGATACTCAGAATGTATCACATCAATTCAACCTGCGAAGTGACCAACTCATGTCAACCTTGTACAGGTTTACTTGTTTGATGCACTGCCCGCATCAATACAAAGCAATGATTCTGCAAGAGGTGCTTTGGAATCTGCGATTGAAACCAGCACTTGCGTAGCTTTCAAGTCTTTTGCGTTTGTTCGTGGTGCCTGCCCGCACGTTTCCGATCAGACTACTTGCCGAATAGAAGAGGCCACCGCGAAAGGAGTCAAGATCGAGCAGTACCTTCGACCGGAGGCCTTCTTGGGAGACCTCGGCATTGACGAAACTATGATGCCGCGGCCTCAGAATGCGTCAAAACAGGGGCTGCTTCCTCATTGGTCGCCTTGTGGCAACCAAGAGTTGTTGGGCATGGGATTGGTTGGCCCCTATTGCTGGTGCAAGTGCCTAATTGTTATTTCCTTGAGAAGGTAGGCAAAGGTGCGGCAAGCGCATGCAGGTCTGAGTCATATTGGCACCAACTTCGTGAAGCTCGCCTTGCGGAAGTCAAGGAAGAGCTGAATCGGATTCTGGGCAAGGTTGCGCCTTGTCCGCGCGGTTAGGATGGAGGCTATCCGTGTTGCATGCCGTTGCTTTGCCTAAGGACCTCCCGACGCGGACTGAAAGCTTGGCGCAAATCCTGACAGATAAGAGCTTAGATCAAGAATTGAAGGCGCGGTTGCGAGTTAATTGAATCAGATCCTGAGGCCCCAGCACTGTCCGCAAATGCGGGATGGCCGTGACTGAGTTTCGGGAGCCTTCAAGAACTAGCGGAAGGCTTTGGATTGTATTTCGGCCCTGGTCACTTGGTTTAACCAAGAGCATGTTTTGGAGTCTTGGAAAGTGTTGGATACATTCCGCGTGTTGGTTTTGTCGGCTACGCGATGGCAGGTGAAGCTTCAGCGCATGGAAACTCAGAAGCGGGCAGCTTTGGATGCAGGACACTAGAAGCATCAGGGGCCTTTGCTTGCCACAGTTTTGCTGCCAATGCTGCACTGATTGGATGTTGCATGATGCCTCAACCTTTGCGTTGCACTAGTCGCATACAAACTGCTGCTCCGCGCATCCTGGTGTGTCCCTCTGCACTTCTTTGGGAGGTGGTTCGAAGATGGGTTGAGCCGGTACGCTGGAAGTTGGAAGGAGACTACGACAAGGCCGCCCAAATCAAGAAGGACAGCGACGCGCTGATCACCAAGCCGGCCAAGGCCAACAAGAAAGCGGGCGACATCACTTTGTCTGAGGTAGCACACCACAACAAGCCTCATGACTGCTGGACACTGGGCAGAACCCCGTGGCAGCCCTGACAGCTTTCTTCCTTCCGCCTCCACCCGGCCCCTGTTGTTTGGCCTGAAGGATGGCCTCAGAATGGCCTCAAAGCAAAGCAATCCCATCACTTGCTTGCATTTGCTCCGGCATGTCCCACCAGAAGAGAACAAAAGGCTCCCCTGAAATAGGTAACGATGGCTCAAAGAGCCATGGACCAAGTGTGGGATGGGGCCTTCATGTCCAGAGAGTCAACCGTAGCAGCCTTGGTGGGAATTGACTTGCTCATGTCCTGTTTTTTGACCTGGCTTTGAGACATGCGTTGGTCCCTCGTCCTCTTAGCTTCAGCCGCTCAGCCGCCTTGAGGATCGCTGTGAACAACGTGGTCTACGACCTCACAGACTTCCTGCAGCACCACCCAGAGCAGCGGAACTCCATTCTGGCCTGGGCGGGCCGGGACGCTACACCCATGTGGAACAAGATCCCGGGGCGCTTCCCCAGCAACTTGGTCAGTTTGACCGCCTGACAAGTTCTTGCTCGCCCTTTTTCACTCTAGCCACAGTCGAGTGGTTCATGCATACCGCAAGTCAAAGCGCTCCAGGCCACTTTCTTGACTTTTGAGAGTCATGTGAGTCAGGAGTCATGACCTTGTGTTTTCATGCCCACGCCTGTGGCCAGGCAAGAATTGGATGGACTTCTTCATGCGCCCGGAGGCGGAGATGGGGAAGGTGGCACCGGAGCCGCCCATGGAGCCCAAGGAGAAGGAGATCCACCACTTGCTGGCGGAGCTGCACCGAAGCTTTGCTGACGCCTTCGTCAAAATGTGTCAGACGCGGTCGACGGGTTGAACCTGTCCAAGCAGCCAAGCGGTGTCCTTTGGTGCACCTGTCATTCCCGGTGAGGTGAAGCCTTTCAAGAATGGCAAACGGTTGGGCTCCCTAAGCCGCAAGGGGGATCTTGGACAAATGAGGCACCAAGTCCCGCGCCTGAATCGCCGAGTGGCGGTACATGTTGCCAGCCGGTTGCTTGAGCCACCCGCATTCGATGTGTTTCGAATGCCTAGGCCTGGAGGGCCCCTCGGAAGAGGACATTGCGGCGGCCAAGGCCGCGACGAAGGTGCCCGGCACGGCGGAGGTTCCCAAGGCGCGGAGAGAACGCCGACGGCCTGTGACTTCCCCTTCCAACCAATGAACGTGGAACCTAAGAGGTGGGATCAAGGGGGGAATCCCCACTTTTGTGATACCAGGAATCTCCCCCTTTAGATATAGGGGGGTTTAGTCTTTGTGAAGCTCATTTCCCACAGCCCTGCTGTAAAAGGAAAATTGACTTCCAGGATCCCCCGAACGGCAGGTTCCATTTTCATTGGTGGGAGAGTAACATGGCTGTGCCGGCGAAAATGAAGCCTTGTGTGGCACTAACAGGTTATTTGCTTGTGGAAGGGGAATAGTAGGTCTTGCAGCCTTATCCCTAGCATCCGAGTTGCTTTCAGATGTTTCTGGCTATTTTCGTGACCGGTCGCCTCTAGCTAAGGCTGAAAGCTAACCAAGGGTGAGTCTGGTCTGGGCAATGCGTTTGAACATCCTGCCTTATCTCAATGCATTGTTTGGCAGTAGTTCAAGCACGTGCTTCCAGAGCTGTCAAATGATTTCATGTCTTGCAATTCCTCGTTCACCTGGCTGAAGTGAGCAGTGTTAGCTGTGCTCGGTTGCCCTACTTGAGTCAGACACGCGGCTGCGAACAAGTGGCGCCTCGTAGGTCTCTGAGGCCGCGCGCTTCCCGAAGCTGAAGGACATCTCCGCGGGCAAGGCCTGGACCGCGCGGGGCGGCGGCGTTTCCTCGGCGCAGAGTGCACCATGCCCTCCCCCAACGGCGGCGCCATGGTTTTTGCTCGCGGTTGTTGTTCGTCCCTGCTCAATGGTCGACTTGCAACGGGTGAGCTGCATCGGTAGGGTCGAGCAGTGAATCCAACACACTTCATGTTGCCAGGAAGCCTGAAGCCATGTTTGAAGTGGTGATTCAGAAGTGTGAAATGTTACGTTGATGGCCTCACTCCAAGTTGAACCTAGGGAATTGACTCGATAGCGCTCGATAGTCACCAGAGCTGTGCTTTTGAGGCTCGGTGGGTTTGGGTGGCTTGGAGTTGATTTGCATTGGTCTAGTCACAATTGCTTGGAATGATCGAATCATATAGGCACCTTCTGAACAAGGTTTGCTTTGTGAGCTGCTAAAGGCCAAGCTTTTGGACTGCCTTCCTTGATCCAAGCTCGCCGGCGATGTGCCAGGAGCTTCCCTTCTACTCCCGAGCGGAGGTGGCCAAGCACACCGCGGCAGAGTGCCTGTGAAGCACATATCGTTGCTCGCCAAAGTGTCGGCTGCAGCTGCAGGCCGCTTTCTTGGCCACAGGGTTCTTGGATATCCAGTATCCAACCTCAGTTTTACACACCTGACCCACAATGACCCAGTGCCGAGGCCCTGGATGATCATCCACAACCGCGTGTATGATTTGAAGCCTTTGCTGGGCAACCACCCTGGCGGCGATGAGATCATCACGT